TATATATATATATTCTTCTTCTATATATATATAGAAGATAATATATAGAATACAAGTAGAAGAGAGAGAATTCAGTGGTGAAGACGTGGAGATCGAATTTGCAGAAATTTCAGTGAATGAAGGACTGTGGAAAGTGACTTAAAATTGAGGTTGTGTTATATTGTAATAAGATGTGATTAATTGAACCTCCTTAATCAGATTCTGGCCCTCAAAAGACAATTTTAAAATATCTGTGTATTGAGACAAAATATAGTTGGAGGAGTGCTTTTCTACTGACTCATGTTGACCTTTAAATATTTTTTTATTTGATAAGTAACTGTGCTTCTTGTTTAATTATTTTTGTATTAATCCTAATTATAATGCATAAAATTTCTTGTTCATATCACCCAAACAGACGTTTTTGTTATTTCAACACTTTCAGGCATGTTTTTGTGATGGGGTATGTATAGTCCCCACATTACCAGTGACATGACAAAAAACGACCTCACAAGTTACGGGTTAAAGGATATTTTTATTATTTAAGATACTAACACTACCTGTTTGCTGTACACTTTTACAAAGGGGGCCCGGATAAAAGTTTTGCGGACAGGCCTTTTCCCATTTCATTACGTTACTAGTCCAAGACTGAGATGGGCCTAAGGGCTATCTTGGTGTAATGTTTAGGAAGCTTGAGAGGGCTCTTCACTACAAATTGTTCCTAGGGAACAGGTAGTTACCACAGGTACTACCAGCCCTGGTAGGTCCCTCGGGCAATGTTAAAACAGCAATGGGAAACACCGAGCAAAACAGAAAGGTAGCCCTGGTAAAAAAGAAAAGGAAAACATCTATTCTCATCTAAACTCATTACTTATCATTATTACTCATGTGATTAAATCTATAGATGAATAAATATTGTAAATAAACATGTATTAAATCTCCTATTATTATTTTACAAGTCAAAACAAATGACTATCAAGCTCATAATGTCTTATTAAACTTTACTTCTTAATTTTAAACATCTGTTGAATTTTATTTCCAGTTTTAAAAATAATAAGTAAAAATGAATAATTACATTTTATTTACAATACTTTTTGAAATTTGATATCAAAAGGGTTTGTAGGAGCAAATTTCTGGAGAAATTAGAGACTAACCAAGTACTCAAAGATGAAAATGAAATAAAATTGTATAAAGCTCAAAGAATGCAAGGCTCTAAAAACCTAAACAGAATGGAAGTGTGTGACTAGTACACAGGAGAAGAGTGAAAAGAAAGATTGGGCAGCAATTGAGAAGGCCAATACATGCTGTTGATTCACATAAAAAAATTACCGTCTTCTGGATCTTCGATTTTCTTTGTAAAAGCATGAGCCCATGTAGCATAATAATTGAAGTATTTTGCTGCTCTTGATACTTCCTTCTTTGCTTCAGAAAGGGGAGCTTCACTAACAAGAGCTTCAACTTCAGCAAATGTATCTTTCTGCTCATCAAGCTTCTTTGCTAACCTGTGACACAAATAAAATTAATGTTCACGAAAATATTTTAAGTCTTAATTTTAGCACAAATCTCAATTGAGATTTTATTTATAAATATACATTAAAGTTAAAAGACAAATCTTGTATTTGGACTTTGACAAATATTTTTCTTCCAACTTTTGCTGAAATAACTATTTTCTGAATCAACAATTAAAATACAATTGCTTACAAGTTGTGATTAAGTTTCAGAAAATACTTAACAGTGAAATTATAGCAATGCAGAAAATAATTTCATATAAAATTTCAAATTATTATTTCTATCCCAAATTGTTGACTAACAGGAGTAAGACAATAAGCATTCTTTTCAATATCTAGAAACTATTCCAATGCAAGAAGAAAACAAATGTCTGCTTTATGTCTGTTGTATGAACCAAAAGAAACATGCTTTTTATTACAATATACATTTATGCAGAATTTACAGACTACAACATTTATAAAATATGCCAGAAAAATGGATATTTCTGACAACTTCAAAGTTAATTAGTTCCAATACCTTGACAATTTGTCATTTGGATCTGAAAATAAAAAAAAATATTTTCTCATACAGACATTTTAGAATGTATTTCAACTTCATCAGAGTTAAAACATTAGATATGATGAAGATGAAATATATTACATTTAAATGTCTGCACAAATGAATAGTTTTTAACTTTTTGCCATGCAAATGATTTGTCAAGATACTGCAACTAATTATAATAAAGAGATCAAGAAAATTTAATGTAAACATAGTTTTACAGCTAACCTGGAGATGAATTTGCCTCTAGAATGCTGATCCAAATTACTCCACGTTCTTTGCCCCAATAATACTGACTGTACCACATTATTAAAATCTTCTAATGAAGGGGCAATGAATGAAAATAGATAATCATCATTACTCAGGTCATATACAGCTTGAGTTTTACATGTAGTACTACTTTTCGATATCAGTTCCAGTTTTCCATTGTAAAAACATTTAATTGGATCTCTACCTGCGAGCCATTTCTACAAAAGAATATTTCATGTTCATAATTGGTGTATTTTCATGAAGAGGATACAAGGTTTTTTGTACCTTGATCACATCATTCACAATATTTGGAACGCAATTTCAATCAAGAAGTCAATCTGATATGATCGATCGTTGATAACAATAAAAATAATATAAAATACATTGCCAACTACATAACCTCAAATTAGTGTTATTAAAACAGTCAATCAAGTAATTTATAAAAATTAAAGCCAATCGAGTACCTTGGCGAAAGGAAAGACATCCCTGGTCTGATCGTAATTCATAGTAGCGTAAAGTTCCGCTATACCAGAAATTTGAGTATTTAATGTCATGACTCAAAAAACAATCTTTTAACTCGCTTCCTGCGTTTACAGCGAGTTCAGTGAGGTAAATAACGTCAATGAAAACTAATGACAATGACCTGTCTGATAGGAACTGTTATCACAGCTGTGTCAGTGTTACAAAGAAACTGGGATCAAGCAAGTGCACAGGACGACGCCTAAATCATATTCGGTGTTGTGCGGGCACAATATCAGCTTTACCTAAAACAAAAACCCACACATATATATTCCATTCAACCCCATGATGAAATTACATCGACAAATAATTTTTTTAAAGAAATTACAAAAATAACAGCAAGTTTCTCGTACTGGCAGACAATGAGATACACGAGATAAGACGGACTATTCGTCATCGCACGTTATCTAGTTCATGTCACTTCTTTTTAGGATCCAAAAAAATAATACACAGGCAGGATACATCCTTGACGTACTATAATAAACCATACGCTCGTTATACATTTGATAAATGATTTGTATATTTTTGGGCGAAAACGCTTTCACTCATATCAGGTTTAACAAATTGTAATTCGCGGGGATTTCGACTTTTGCCCAATAAACAAATCAGTGTCCATGCGCGAATTCAAATTGAAGGCATGCTCGGCATAATTTGGCCTAGTAGTAAGTGGCGGTTCGTTCATAATTCCAATAACAGGTGAAGCAACGTCGGCAAATCCTTTTAAAACGAGAGGATGTGAGGCATAATGAAAAGGGTTTCCCGTAGGTGAAACCTGGTTGAGGTTGACTGGACTACAGTCACTACAGTGGCGGCTCGTGAACAAATGTTCAGGGTAGGCAAAATAATACTCTGAGGTCTATAAGTATCCTCAAAATTTGTCTGTTTTTAATTTTTTTATCCTTTCGTTTTATGTAACTGCGTTGCAAGTTTGTGTTGCTCTGACAATAATTCAGAAATCGGATTGTTTTTTTTTTTTTCAGGCGTTTAAAATTCACTGAATTACATGATCTTTTTTGACATACCTTGTTCTTGCATACCTTTTTATGTTTTTCATGTCAAAATATACATATCTATTCCAAGTACTCTCCTTAATTGACATTAAAAGATATGGCCAACAATAGAGATTAGCTTTAGTTTCACTACTCGTTCGCCATTTTGGTGAATCATACTACGCAGGATTGAATTTTCTTACCTGCACGATGCACAACCGTACTCAACATAGGAATTGGTCGATCATTGTCTCAAATTAGACCCTTAATCGTTACAGACCCGAAAAACAGTGTACGAAGTAATGCATTCACAATATGTCATAATATTAACGTAAAATCTGTTATAAATATAAACTAGTGGTGTAGAATAGCACAGACTTTCCCGTATTCGTTTTCTATTTTCTTTGGTCTCGGCTAGCTATTCGAACTTGCCACATATTCTTGCCTGCTGACATTTATCGCCGCCCAAAAAACATTTTTTTGAAACTTTCTTAATTTTTCGGTTTCCTAACAGTATACAAAAATATTATTTTCAGATGAGTAAAGAACAGTAAAATCTCATCCCAAATGGCAATTTTCTTTAAAAAAATTTGGAGCGTTTTTTAAGAAAATGGCGATAAACTCTAGTAAATTCGAAATGTGAAGCGCTTTTCACAGTAAATTTTTGAGTTTACGAAAAACTTAACTTGAAGTCTTGAAGGACTTTAACTCACGAATACGACTGTGCTTACAAATTGCTGGAAAAAAGCATATTTCCGGTGTGAAAAATCCTTCAAAAATATGACATTTGTGTAATTTTTGAAAAATAAAAAATACCCCGAAATGAACTTTATCTCATATTAAAGAGTGCAATTAGCACTATCCTTTCGAAAAGTGCGAAGAAAAAATGTAGAGCTGTTTTTGAGAAAATGGCGTTTGAGGATTTCTGAAAATGCAAAATTTTGAGTTAGTTTTGACAAAAAACGGTTGTTTTCGAGAAACTTTATCTAACATTATTTAAAGCACATGTACTCATGAATATAATCATGGGAACAAATTACTGCTAATGTAAATATTAACGGCGTGAGAGAAGTCAAATAAATAACATTTTTTGTACATTTTGAAAAACAACAACAAAAGAATAGAGCAAAATGGCATTTATGTCATCTCATAGAGGTATTTAGTACAATCCCTACCAAAATTTAAAAGACAAAATTTGGAGGCGGTTTTTAGAAAATCTTTTGTATTTTTTTTTTTAAATTTGCATAAAACGCAATATTGCGCGATAAGTACTAAAATTTTCAAAAAACATGTACGTGGCCTCATTCAAAGAATAAATTATGGACAATAAATTGTATTTGAAGGAAAATCTCTATCTTTAAATCTGTAGTTGTACAAAGACCCCGAAAAAATGAAAAATTTTGAAATTTTCGAAAATTCAGTTAGCCGTGTTAACTGTGAAAACTGGACCTATGCCACGTTTATAAGTGTATGTTACTCTACTTTTACAAGAAATTTTAAGAAAAAAAATTAGAGCAATTTTTGAGAAAAGTTTGAAATCGCAGAGCATCGACTCAGGCCAAATGGACAGGGGTTTCTTCAATTTGCAAAAAATCCTACACATGGTTTAGGCGTATGTTGTTAACATACGGACGAACGGACAGATGGACGTTTTGTAAAAAAAAAAAAAAAAAAAAAAAAAAACAACAAAAAAAACCAACACTTTTTAGGTATCAGGAGATCCCAAAACGCGTATTTCCGTTGTAATCTCGAAATCGATTATCCGCAGCACTACATAACTTTCGTTATATTACGTATATTACTATGTATATACGTATGTATACGGGAAAGTAAAAATCAAGTAACACAAGTAACAATCCGCAACGTTCTAATTTAAAATAAACAAAATTAATGCTTCATAAATAATAATCACTTTCTCCGCTTGTTACATCAACAAAACAGTAAACACGCGCTACGCAACTAGCATAGTGAGTGGAAATCGGGCCGGCAGCTAAATGATTCGCTGGCCTAAGCACAAAGCGCAAGTGTCAAGTGGCATGGACACAGCACGCTACTGTCCTACACTCACTGTAGGGTCTTTTCTCAGAATACGGTGCGAAGCGAGACAGCGCCCGCGCGTGCCTTCTCTGAGAGGTGCAAGCGGGTGCAAACAGAATTTTAGCAAAATATCAGTGCAAGCAGAGAGAGCCCCTGGGTGCAAGTCTCATTGTCAGTAGGAAGAGACGAGACATAGCATGGCGCAGGGGCTGTCAGAAGACGCTGAAATGGAAATATGGCTCGTGAGAAGATAATGAAATGTTTATTATATATTCCGGATGAATAATACTTACAACATATTAAAATTATAAGTCATTTAACTTTTTATTAATATGAAATATGCAAGTACATATCAATCAGAGGTGGCAGTGCCTACCTTGCCTCCTCCATGAAGCCGCCACTGCTGGCCTAGTAGTAATGCCGCCACTGCTGGCCTAGTAGTAATGCTTGCCGGCGCGCGGTGGTAGACCCAACATTATAGTTTTGAGCCTTAAATCGCCCTAGTTGTTCAAATATACGCAATTTTTCTGCTGGCCACGGGTCACCATCCAAAATCAAATATGTTACGTGCGGTGAAATCCTCTCATCGGTGGGCTTCCTTACAAGCACCTTGTACGTATCAGCATATTCGCTGATTTGCTACTTACGCAGGATGTACCCGTCATATATCTCGAAATGGTGCTAGCCTTCAACAAAGTGCCACACAACACACTCATCACAAAACTTCGGCGCTGCCTTTCACAAGACGTAACCGAAATGGTTAAGTCTTTCTTCACTAACCGTGGGAGACGAGTAAAGCGAGATCCTCAAAGCGGAGGAATGCGGTCGGGGTCTCTCTGGCACTGGCGGATCCAGTGGGGAGGCATGGGCGCCATGGCCCCCCCCTCCCAAAAGGCCTAGAGATTCGTTTACCTTCCTTTATTTGGCAAAATTGGTTTAAATATTTATGTTCCAGTTATGCAATTATCTAAACAATAATATTGCATAGTGTCATATGTATTGCACATAAATAATGTACAATATAACAAATATATTTATTATTTAACAAACATTTACGATCCCCCCCCCCCTAAATGATCGGCTGAATTCGGCCAAGCCTTCAGAGCTCCATCCTCTCTCCGCTACTGTTCTCGCTGTATGTAAATGATATACTGCTCGAATACGGTTTTTCCTTTATGCTGAAAACATAGGCGTCTTAGCACGAGGGATAAACCTAGGCCACAAATTGAAAATACCTCAAAAGGAGATGAATCAGACGCTGAAGGGGGCGGAACAAAACCACTTGACTTTTTCAGCGGAAAAGTCTTAGGTAATCTGTTACACTTGCCGTAAACACTAAGCGTTTTACACAGCAAAAACAATATACACTTGGTACTAAACGTGGACGCCTAAAGTGGGCAACTTACCTGGGCGTCACTTTTGATCGAAGGATGCGCTGGCACTTACATGTCAGGCGAATTGGATCGAAATTTCAGTTAAGAGTTCGACTCTTACATATAGGTATTGTTAACTGAATTTGGCCACAGCGTTTTTATCGACAGTTTGTAGATTATGAAACAAACAGCGATCACATCATAAAAAAGTTTGTTTTTCAGAGCGACGTTTCGGAGAATTCATTTTTCCCCATCTTGGTATAGTAAAGACCGTCCATAAAATACGTAACTCAAGTTTGGAGTATTTTAAATACCCCCTCTCCCCCGTAACGCACCTGTTACGCGCTTGCCCCACCAAATAATTGGTGGGGCAGGTAACGCTTGCAACCCCCCCACCCTTGTAAATACGAGAACTGAAAATAAATTATAGCTCAATAATTTGTTTTAAATAATTTTAGTATTTGTGTTGCATATTAAAATTAATGATAATTAAAGAAGAAAATAGTTGGCAATGTTGACTGCACATGACAATAATATTGGAACAATTGAGTGAAAAAAGAAAGAATGGGCGAGAAAAGTTTTGACATGTACACGCTGTTGTGGTTGACTTTAGTATATAATTATATATATAATAATAGAATATATATATATATATATATATAACGCCATATATATATATTCCATATATGGCTGTCGGCCACAATTAATCGAAAATGCGTACGTTTAGAATTACAAAAATATACTTAAACGCATTTATCCCGTAAGATTTGTTATTTTTACTTTCTTGCCCTTAAGATGGTACGTAAGAGAGGATATTATGTAATGCTGCAAGAAAAGCAGCGAATTTTCGGCGGAAAAAGTCTTATTAACGGACCCTAGTAACGAAAAAGTGGATAAATACAGTTCCTAAGTTCAAAAACGCCTCTAAAGCGTAGTTTAGCCAGTCTCCATTGTTTTGTGGGTCCTTGAGACCGAAAAATCGAATGACGGCAAAACACGGTTGCCTGTCCGGCAACAACGCGGTTAAACCGTTCAACCGATTTTCTCCAAAATTGATATTTCCCTATTGATCTGGCTAATGTCGCGGCCCCTTTAATTTGAAAGCGATATTTTAATTTGGGTGGTACTTTATATGAAGCATCTGGGACATTTTTCAAAAATGAAATGGCTACATCGTTTTTTATTAAATTTTGTTGGAGAGTGTAAAGGACGTTTGAGATAATGGCGCAGGTCTCATTTTCATTGAAACCCCTAATATTTTGACAATTATATAAATTCAAAAAATTTCGGCGCATTCGTACAACTTCAATGTTGAAGATATTTCTTTTTCTTAATGAAATGTGTTCATCAAAAACAGCTTTTCAAAAGAGGTCAGGTTCAATAATTCGAAAATGTGAGTACTTTTTGTGTGATTGTAGATTAAAATAGGCGTTTTTAAAACCATTTACTCAGAAACGGCTTCAAAATTTGCCATTCATTTTAATCATCGAGTGTAGCAAAGATAGTGGTGATGGTCCTATTTTCGGCTCACTCTGCATTTTCGAAAATTGCGGTAAGTTCGGAATTGTAAAGTCGAATTTCACGCGCATGGTTTCAGACGTTGCCAGTTCGGAAAATAGCAACAAAGAGATTTCAAAATTCGTCGAATTCATTCCCTTGTCGTCGGTCATGATTGTGATGTATATAATATTCTTATGAAAGGAAATAGATTGAAAGAAGGTAATAAATTTTAACTTAGAACCATCAAATACATTTCTATACTTTAAGAACTTTTAAAAGCTGATTATGGTATAAAACATTGGAAGCTCACTTCAAATTAATCTAGGTATCTTACCATTAACTTGTCTCTTGATATGTCAACTACAACACTCGACATACAAATCATATTCATCAGGTGACAGTATCAACTGCTCGCTACAAAAAAAATCACATACAATACATGTACGTTATTTTACAATACCTTGCCAGATTACATTAAACAATTAAATTTGATACAAAAATTAAAGTCTCAAGTAAAATATTTTCTGCTGGACAATTGTTTCTGTACAATTAGAGACTATCCATCATCCAAAAGGAAAGTAATATTAATTTTAACGTATGTATGTATTATTTACCATTTGGATTGAATATTATAAAGAACCTAAAACAATGACTCCATCTCGATCAGGTTTTCATCCACTTTCCCTGATCCTTGAACAAATGCTGACATGGCCCCTTGTTTTGCTTTTGGACACAATGTAATTTTAAATTAGTTTCTCCCCATAGCACATCACACACAGTTTTTAACTGTTTCTGACGTAAATAAATAATAAAATATAATCAAGATAGGCTAGTGTAAAATTATTCTTTTTTTCTCTGTATTACGTTCTGTAAATACCGTCACATTTAAATTTATTCATTCAATTGTTTCATTTCTAAAAATAAGAAATGATAGCTCTTCCTGACAATGGAAATACATGCATATAAACATGTATGCTTGAATTAGACTTTTTCAATTTATAACTGAGCTTATAGTGTGGCAGAAATTATATTTCAATATTACGTAAGTATTTTCGATCATACGAGAAAGCATGTGCTCAAGCAGCACCTCTAGTTTTGTTGAACAAACATGAACTGTCACTTTGCCATCACGTGTAGTTAATAACTTAGAATTTGCATCATATCCCGATTCAGAACCACCTGTTCTTTAACGCGCCACCTCTTGCTACCATCCCATTTTAAAAACATTACGCCAAAAGAAACATTGGCGCAGCAATGATTCTTTAAGTCATTTATGAATCTAGGGCGTTAAGTAGAAGTTTTTGCCCCGAGAGCGACTTCCAAACCCGAGGAGAAAACGAAACCCTAGTACCATCTGTGATTAATACAAAACTTTATGGTTTTCTAGTTTGTGGCTGAATCAAACGATAGTTCAAAACATTTCATAGTTTTTCTTGTGACTAAAGTGAAAAGACGCATTATATAATAATAATTTGTCATTGTCAGTGTATCACATTAGTATTGCATAATCGTGGTCAAAGCGAAAGCTTTCATTGCTCTCGCTAATACTCCATGTGCTCTGCACGCTATGGCAACTTACGAACTTTCAAAATCTATCAGAAATGACGTACGCTAGCGTTTCTAGTATTACTGCAGCACGCTAGTGTGCCACAGCGCACTTGCCGCGCTCAGCTGGGCTGCGACGGGCGCACTATAACGTCCGTTATTTGACGTTCGTCTGTCGCTAATGCGGAAAAAAGATTCTTGGGATATATTTTTAATAATCGTTAGGTTAGTCTAATCATGAACTTAGATAAACATAGCGAAACATCACGCCTTAAACTGTGATTATAAATACCATCAACCTCGTGTGCAAGTGGTGTCGTTCGCAATGTTTACACGATCAGGACAAAGATTCACATTTATTAAAAAATACATTTTTTATTGGTCCCAGTGTATATTCAAAGCTTCAGAAACTATTAGTCATGTTTGCAAAACAGTAGTTTACAATGAGCCTATAACTTTAGTAAATTCTGAAACCTTTTAAAAAAGGCAAAAGATTTGGTAATAATGCTGATGCATTTTGGTTAAATTGTAGTGGTAATATACAATAAGAATTTTCCATATGTGCAACCATGGCTTTCATTTTGTTGCAGTTCTATAGTAAAGGAAAATTGCTTATTTGGAAGCACTGCTTTCTGTTAGAAAAAATTAACATCTTCAGGAATGTTGACTAATGCAGTCTGTAGCAACTGCATGCTCATTTTCATTTTACACATCTCAAGGGTCTTAACTTTTCTTGAACGATTGATTAAAGAAATGTGGATAGAGTGGGGGTATTAGTTACGAAATCGGCCACTAGATTTTATGAAACAATGCCAATCTCTGGAGAATTAGTCATGCCTTCAGACCTTTCTCAATTTGCGCTCTATCTTTCCCAGAAGTCCGAGGTATCTCCTGAGATCCTTATCCGATTTGCCATTTCTTTACATTTTTTTGAGAAAATAACGGACAGAAAATCTCTTCAAAAGAAAATTGTTTCTATTTCCCGCCAGTGACGATGTTTGGAATGTCATCAGTACTCGGGAGCTTTCGCCTTTATCTGTTTATTGTGCCGAGGGGGGGAGCAATGTCATCGTTCAAGGCTCGCGAGAAATACAAAATATGGTTGAAATTGATGTTCATCAATTTTTTAAATAAAGGTTTCGTACACCATTACTTGCACATTAAAAATGCCTAATATATTTGACAAGAATTTGCGTTAAGGAAATCCAAAAGAAAGACAAACCTGAAAAATTTCAAGATCTCACTCTTGAAGCAATAGCAGTGCAGAAATTATGAGTTCCTCAGCACAATCTTTTCTTTTGAATATTTTCTTATATGCTACACATTGTGTTTTCCCCTTACAAAATAAAATTTTAACCAACATTTTTTTAAATACTTTATTTTAATGACAAGCATAAAAAAAACCTTTCAATTATGTATTTCAAGTTTAAAACATTAGCAACAAAAAATGTATATTAGGAAAACAATAGCAAATACTCAATTGTCTTGAAGGAAAGCTCTCAACACAAAAGTAATATAAAGTTTCTTAATGCATAAAAGAAGGTAGGAAATAAGAAATAGCTTATACTGCTCATTACTTTAGTAGAAAGTATGTGTGAAACACAAGCTTGAACATGACTAATGAGTCACTTATTTTTGGGCACACTTTCTGTACAATTATTACAACAATCATTCATTTCACAGAATTCATGTATACAATACATGCAAGAAGTACAAAAGAAACCTTCAATTTCTCAAATTGACAACAAGAAATATGAGGTAGTTGTAGAACACATTCACTATTCTCCAATATACATTTTCAAAAATCTTCTACGTTTCAACTTTGTTGTGTATATCATAAAAAGAAAGTAACCACTTTTTTTCTTGAACATCAGGTACATCACGCTCAAACTTAAGTATTCACACATCTTTTTCACCAGAATGGTGAAATGTCACTAATCAATCCTTGCTACAGCAAAACAAACATAAAAATACAAGTATCTACACACACAAATAACAAAAATTAAAAAACAATTTAACAATTTCAGTAAAAAATTCCGCAAGTACTTGAACTCCATCTCGCAAAGAATTTCGAGACACCATTTTCTCTTGAAAAATAAAGTAAATCTGACTTAAGATTTTGATTGCAAAAGGAACAAAATTCTTATCACTAATGACTGGAATAATTAAATGTACAGAATTTTAATTAATTCCACTAATATTCCAATAACAAATGTATATACACAATGACAAGTACACACCAACAACAAAAATATATCACAAAGTAGTCAACAATAAATACTACAAACAAAATATGGGTTCATTACATTTTCATACATACATTTCACAACCAAAGAAATTTATCTTGCAATTTCTAAACGTTAATGAATTCCATGAAGATTTGCTTTCTTGTAGATTTGTTTTGAAGAGAATTCTCATTATACTTAAAGACTCCACATCAGTAGTATCATATTCAGAAAACACTAATTTAAGTGAGCATATGTCATGATTCTAGAATCATACAACAGGCTTGGCAGAGATGGAATAAAAAGGAATTTTTTTTGTTATTGATTTTTAACATAACAGTTAACCAGAAGACAATTAGATTTCAGGAAGAAAGAAAGGAAGACTTACAAATTTCATACTCAGTTTCTTTTGTATGCTCTCCTGTTTCACTAGTAAACAATTCTTAAATCTACACTTTTCTCTTCTGAAAATATCACATTTTTGGAAAACAATTAACTACGTTCTTTGTAGTAGTTATTGCCAGTATTAAAAATAAAATAAAAAAACTAATTTTTATACCATTTTCTCAATCATACTTTACAAATTGGCCTTTGGTTTTTAATCTTTAACATATCTGTTATTTAAGTTCAAACTTTATAATTACAAAATTGCAAATTCATTATTTAGTAATGTTAAAAATCTAACACTCCACATGTGGATTTCCAACTACTTTAAAATAACCAACACTTCTCTTTTTTTGGGTCACACACACAACAATCACACTAATAGAATTTTGTAGTTATTGCAAGTATAAAATAATATTACAAAAAACTTTTAATAATTCAATATCAGTTTTTCTGACTATCCAAAAATTTTAAATTTATATTTTTAAAACAATTAAATCCATTCAAGTACAATTTAAGTTCCCAATTTACTTGAATTTTTACCTGAAATTAAATATTACTCCAGTAATAGAGAGAAAATGGTATTTTCTAACAGTAAATTATTAAAACTCAAAGAAGTCAAGATAATTACAAAAATTGATGAATTGCAGAAATTTATAAATTCAGATCTCCACAAATTATTTTCTGCATTCACCAAATTTTATTATGCATAAGCTTTATTTTCAAGAATATACTGTAACATCCTGAACGGTACACACTTATGAAAATGAAACAAAAGGTAAATTGCCTTTTTGTAATTGTTGCAGTTATTTCTCCCCAATTATTAATGTCATCTATTCTATTATTTTTCATAAGGAACCCACAACTCAATTCTAAAATTCTTTATTACGTGAAAATGAAACAAAAACAATGCCACAAGAAATTGCTAACTTCTACAGAATCACAAGCATTTTCATTGCAATTCATTCAAATCTGTCTTCATTGATATTGTAAAGAGAGAGGTTTTTGGGTAAAGGAACACTGTTCTGAATCAACAATAGAACAAAATCACAAAAAACTGATTGACATATTATTTAATGACATGTGACTTGCAACTAGAATAGATGACAGACTAATGAATCGAGATTGTTTCTTCATTCAAACTTATACTTCAATCATCTGGCACTCATTCAGTTCAATTTACAAGAAAATTACAACACCTAATGAAACTAGGAAAAGTAATGTTCTAATTTAAATACAAATCTATTCTGGTAAATCAACATACCCATTCCAATAACGTTAAAAAGTACACTTCCTATACACAGAAAACTAAGAAAAACATTTTGCTTAATTATTTGCCAAATGTTTAGAATATTCTTCTGTGTATTTTCTCGTGCAACATTGCGATTGCTAGAGCGGACACTACTACCTGAATGACTCAAAGCATCAGATGCAGCTGTGTGGCTCGAGGGCAACTGCTTCACAGTCGGGTGAGGAAATGGAGGAAAACAATATGAACCTGGGAAGCAATGTTTTGGGCTTTGGAAGTATTGAGAATTAGCTATCCATGGAATACTGCGAGGGGCCAGACCACTGGGAGTTGTGGCTACACTTAATGGACATACATGAGGAACACACACAGGGAATCCCCCATAATATTGCATCCCCATAAATGGTAATTTCGAGACAGCAACAGCATTGTTCACGCTAGAACCACAGTGACAAGTCACCATGGGTGCTGCATGTTCAGAGAGCACTGAAAAGCGATCCCCTTCTCCTCCACACATTGAGCCACTATAAGAATTGGGCGAGCTGGCAGGGGAGTTGCTGGAGTGTGAATGGAAACCGGAGCTCTGGCTTGACGATCTCGAGACTGGGCTACTACTAGGCGATAGGAAGCTAGTTTCTAATAGATTTCGACCAGACTGCACTGCTTTGGATAGAGTGCCTCCCAATTCTCGCCAATATCCCCCAGCAACCCAAGAGGTCTGGGTAACATTTCTACGGAAATTGAGTTTTGAAGGTCTTAATAAGTTACTCTCTCCACCATTATTCACAGCTGGTTGGTGTTCATGTTCAAAAATACGCTCTCCACTGGCTGTGCTATAGGACTTCGTTTTGAAGACTGAACCATTCTTGTTTCTAATATTACGTGGACCTATACTTAGTTTTCCCAATACCCATTCTAATTCCTCAGAAGGTGAGAATGTGCTGCTCATAGATGTTGGTCTCTCAGAAGGAGATTGCTGTATGGATGAATACTGCTCTGAATCTATGTGACCAGCAGCTGGGGACACAGGTGTATGTGAAAGGGAAGAATCTGAAGGAGGACATGATGAAGATTTGCTTGAAGAAGGTTCCACTGCAACAGAACTGAAAAAAAGAAGTATTTATATAAATATATACATATATAAAAAAAATCATACATTCAAGTGGTAAACAACACACTAATGCAAAAAAACAAGAACACACTAAAAATAATGTAAAGCATCAAAATTTTAGAGAACCAATTGTGTAGACCAGATGACCTATGAAGAATTGTAATAATTGATAACTCATTCTGGTTCCATCAACAGAACTTAGAATACAAAGAGAACAAAACTAACATTTATACTAAAACTTTGATAACTTTAAACTAACAAAAACCGTACACAATAACATTGTATTGCTACTGGAAAGTAAACCTTTTTTCATTATTACACTTTTTCTAGAAGTTAAAGTTAAAGGAACATTAAAAACAAGATTTTCTCAAAAACTGTTCCAAATTCTCTGTAGGAATGACCAACTTTATTTTGCTGTTTTCTTTTGTTAAAAAAAGCAAAGTAATTTTTTTGACACTAATCTCACAATGTTAATATTCATATTATCAGCCATTTGCACACTTTCATGCATTTGTAAGCCGAAGGGTTTCAAATGATGTCTCAATGTTTCTCAAAAAATATTTCGAAAATACTCAAGTCATTTTTTTCAAAAAACGCTCCAAATTCTTTTTTAAAACTCTCTATGAATAGTGTTAAATGCACAAAACGACATGACATTAATCCCATTTGATGTCATGCCATGCTGTATTCCACAACTGTAAATTTTTTGAAAATATGTTAACATTTACATTGGACATTTTTATACATTATTGCATTTGTTAGCAGAAGTGCTTCAAATGACTTCCAATTAAGTTTCTCGAAAACTGACAAGTGATGTAAACACTAGCTCAAAATTTCACATTTTCACAAATGCTCTTACATTTTTCCAAAATGAATTCAAATGTTTCAATTTGCACAAAGAACCATACATATCTATGTACATGATTCTATAATAATCTTAATAGTCCTTCTATAATTATCTAAAATTCAATTTCATTTCCACCATTAGGGGACCGAAAAATTAATAATATGGGAAAAATATCCATTATGGGATGAAATCAAAAAGCATGCCAGGCTAAGGAGATCAGAAAACTCATGCTACAAAGACTGTGCTATTAGCACTACTAGATATTGTGGTTCCCATTTTCAGCAATGTTGCTTATAGATTGGCTTACCTGCAAGACTGCTATAATGGTCATCAATATCTCTGTCATATCCCACAAATTTTTTATATTGTAATCAGTGTTCAAATTCAATCAGCTGCAGGTCTTAGGATTGGTGATGTAACAAGACTTTTTCTAACACACGCACATATATATTTATTTATTTGTGTGTGTGTGTGTGTGTGTAAATAATATTGTAATATAATTAATTTGTGAATTTGGGTTTGTTTTCTGCTTTCCTTTCAGCTCATCTCGGAGTCAAGTTCTTATCATCCAGTCAAGGTCATTTTGGTTTCTGCACCTGCACTTCTAGTTGTGTGTGTTTTCCATTAAAGAGAATCTTTTTGGCCAAGCGTTTGCTTTAAAGTATAATTTCCATTGGTCTGGGCAATCTAGTTTCTGCTCCTCCCCCTCCCCCTACCTCCCATAGCCAGACCATGTGCTGGAAACAGCCTTGGAGCATAGCCTCAAAATAGATATATTGAAGACAGGGAATTAATAGAGTATAGGGGTATAAAGATTATTCAATCTAGGGATTTGATAATTGATATGCATAATCCATTATTTGTTTGGATTCAATAGATGCAGCCATTTCTCCAATCATTCTGCAGGTCATGTTCCAGATATGATGGAAGTGAAGGGAATTCGCAAATATTTTCACATCATTAGCATAACATTACCAATTTAATAAAAGATCTTCAAGTTCATTACAAAGAAATGTAGACCCAGAACCAACCCATGGAATACCGCTTGGTACTATTCTGGTGGACGATGTACTTCCTTCAATCTGAACCTGGAATGTACTTCACGTGAGGTATTTCCATGTCAAATGTTTCCCCCTACTTTTTCCAACTTCCATTACAACATACATTAACAGTTATCACTGAAATTATATGTAAGTTTCTCGAAAACAGATGTTTCCAAAACTAAAAAGTTCATTGGAATGTTCTCAGTATCTTCTGGTAAGTTATTTTACCAGTGTATTGTATAATTAATCACATCACGTGGTTTTGTCTGAAGATAGTAGTCTGTTTCACCAACATGAACCAAACGAGACAAGTAAACGAATCACAAAAATTAACATTTGTTACAGTATTTTCCCCATTTCTCTAATATTTACTTGCCCTCAGTTAACTTGTGGACACTGAACAAGAAATGCTATTATACTTTTTCTAGCTAAACTATCATGAGTATGTTCAAGAAAAATAGTTTATTGCAGATTTGTTAAGACGTCAAGTTTTGCTGTAAAGCTAAATGAATAAACCCCAGGGATTATCACCATTAAAATATACTTATACTGTTTCCTGAAATTCTACTGATCCCCTACCCCCATGAAGATTGATAAGAGGAGGCAACACATTGTTGCTTTTAGTCTGTTTTTCTTGTCAGCTAAGGGCTTATTCTCATAGAAAAATGTTTGAACTACTTTACTTCCTCTCCAGAAAGGCAACTCTACAAATCTATTGCAGCATGCCACACCCAAGCTACAATCAAGGCACCTCAAAGATGCTAAATAATACCAGCATTGACACACAGCAAATATGGTACTGTATGAGAGGGTTTTTATTAACAATGGTTCAAAATTATCAAAGCTGATCTCGATTTTGTTGAGAAACCAGTGTGACTGAACAACAGTTAATCCACATGACTTTGCTTTATCAAATCTTGAATAATACTGTGTAATAAATCATCCCATTTAAATAAAGAAAGAACCAAATCTCAAAATTTCTTGACATCCCACTGCATTATTACTGCAGATACCAAAGAAACTTTTAATGGGCAGAATAATCCTTATGTCTTGCTTTATTTAACGTTAATCAAGAATTTGAAGAAACCATTTTTTAGAGTAAAATGCATAAAAAAATTCCAAAGATGATAATAACAACATCCAACAGAAATAGTATTATCCAGTCACAAAAACTAACGCATAGGTGAACTTCAAAGTTCCAACGCAAGGTAAATAAATATACAAAAAAATTAAAAACAGGAGGTAGAATTATGAAACTACATCTTGTTGAGAACCACTGAATTCAAGGAATTTGTTGAAAGGAAATCAACCAAGGATCCATACCAAGACAAATCTCCAAAGCTTACCTGTTAAACAATGAAGCAGCAAATTTAAAACAATGTAAAACTCAGCATTATCTTCTTCATAGAAACACTGAAGGAGCATTCGTCATGCTACGAGGCAGAAAACACATTCAGATATGCCAAAACTAGTCTACCTATTTCTCACTCGAACTACACGCTACTGTTCTCTGGTCTTAAGAACTGCTGGCTGACAGAGATCCTGCAACTTTGTTGGAAATCATTCATATAACAGTTTAGTATATGTAAAATATCCAGAAGTTTTCAAATTCTCTCAGGCTACTGCACAGTTCTAAAATTTTATTAAGATCAAACAATCTTTGACGGAATAAAGTTGACGGAATAGTGGTAAAAGTTGGCAAGCTCATGTTCTTAAATTACGGTAAGTAAAATGTTGGTTGTTACAACATTACCTGTTTCATGAATGTGACATCTATTACTGTCATTGTCATAATAATAATAATAATAATAATAATAATTTGCCGAATCTACACACACACACACTTTCCGTTTCTTATAAATCAGTTTTAAAAGTGAAAACACAGTCTGTTTGCAATCTGAAGAACACCAAGGAAATCTATTGGCTAGTAACAACATCCCCTATGGGATGAAACTTCTCTGCAGCTGGGAATTTAGTTTTGTTCCAGAACAAAACAGAATTTGTAGAATAAATTTTGGATTTCCACAAACTTCTTATAAAATATGAATACATTTGTTTTCTTAAATAAAAAAGAATTACCACAGATAACTACAAACTACTCGTGCAAATGTTCTTGTAAAAGAAAGAAGTAGAAATTTACAATTTCTCCCATTGTGAAAGAATGGTAATAGGCACAGTCTTCTCTCATTCATCAGAAAGTGGCCCTTCTCCCTTCCTTCCTCATTTGACCAATGATCCTGAAAAATGGTTAAGTAGCTTGTATCTGACCACAGCTTTGGTTCAGGATCTCAGGAATCTATACAAATACCTGAGAAATGTAATGAAGCTTCATCATGAGCTCTATCCAAACGCTGTCGGTATATTATCTTATTAAACTAGTTTGGGAATGCGTTTGCCAAGAACGTATTACTCAAATCCGTAACAAGGATATAATATTTAAAATTCAGATGCACAGAAATTCCACCAAAGAGCAATTTTTTTAATCATTTGCATTTTGCAAGATATTGATGTACCTTTGCTTCCTCTGATGTAACAATACTTATCTTTACTTTCTTGTACGTGTTCAGTGCAACTACGTTCAAATGTTTCTCGCATAAAACTTTTTTTTTTTGATTTCTTTTGGTAGGTCCCGGATAAATTCTCATGCTAAATTATTTCAGTAACGAGTTTTACATTCAGTGTATTATTCCAGTCCGTTATTGTTCTATTTGTGAATGAAAATTTTCCAACATCTGTTCTCTGTGGTCTGAACTGAATTTTGTGCCTGTGATCCCCTCTACTAAAGTAAGTGGGCCTATTGATTCAAATGAAAATGCATTAAAACACCTCATCTCGCGGAGAGAGAGCGAGAGTAAAAAAACAAATTAAATTTAAAAAGAGACGTAAAAGACAGGAAGCATTCTTCATATTAAGTTGTTAATTGTGGGAAGAGAATGCATTGTAAATATAGGCTTTTCAACAGGACCAATGAAAAATTACATAAGACAGGAAAACGTAAAATGCGGGAACGTAAAAACGGGGCTTTGTAAATGGCCCAAAATCTTGCATAACCCTCCTGATATTTAGAGACTCCCATTCTACTTTCTTCCTATTGCTGCGGAAAGTAAGTTTACACACTCTTCTCTGTACTCTATTCAAATATTCCTTTTATGAATTTCTATAATCGCACCGTATTTCATTTATGGACGGACTAGATAGGTAAGCTAATTCTCTCGTTTTCGCAGGACTCTTTTTTCAGTATTCTCATGGTAAAATTCAAAGAGCTCCAGGCTTTCCCTACCACAAAGGGTACCTGATTTTCCCAATTCAATTTGCTCTAAAATATTCCCAGGTACTTACAAGCTAGGCCTCTAGGAATATTTTCGTTGCCTAAACGGTATTGACTTTCACTATATTTGCGGCCCCTACAAAACGTGATTTTGTAGTGGTTTTGGTTTTTGAACTATTTATTATCATGCTACTTTTTCCTGACCAAAAATGTGATCTAGATCATGCAAAACATCCTCGCCTACTTTTGATTGAATAACTCGATATATTATACAGTCATCTGCAAATATATTAAACTGATTGGGTACAGCCTCCCTCGATATCCGAGTATGGTGAGATTTTGTTTTAAAAACGGAACTCAAATAGGCATTAAATGCGTTTGCTTTCCCCCGAACATCTATTAGTAACCTGTTCTTGGTATCTCAAATGATAGGAATTTCTTCTTTATTTCCTCTTCTTCTACAAACATATTTGTAAAACCCTGGCCAATTATTTCCCTCACTGTTGAGAATGTATCAAAAATGACTCCTGCGCAATTTTCTTTTCCCACTCTAATTCTTGCGGCCTAATTAAGTAAACATCTAGAAGCACTTCCTGCTGCGTCGTCTATCTACTACCTGCGCTAATCCCCCTTCCCAGACGAGTCTGTTCACCGACTGTTGTACTTTTGCTTCGCTCACAGCATCTTTCCAATTTGTGTCTGAAATATTTAAATCACCAGCAATTACTATAGGATGTATATCAGTGCTTTCTATTTTCTCAGAAATTGCTTCCAAAATCATGTAATTTTCATTTGGTGGCCTATAGCAAGCAATAATTTCTAACATTCCCTAAATTACTAATTTCTGTGAGAAAAACATTGAAGTGTGAAACGTTTAAATGGAGTTTCACTGAACATGTACAAGAAAATAAAGATATAGTTACATCTGAGAAAACAAAGGTTCTTTAATATCTTGCAAAATGCAAATGAATAAAAAAATTGCTCTTTGGAGGAATTTCGGTGCATCAGAATATTAAACTATTATATACAGTATGTAAATAGAAATTTTCAACTGACACAGAAAAACTTAATTACAAACCATGGCTCACTAAATTTAGAACATCCCAACACGCCTGTTCCCTGTACCCAGGTACCCCCAATTCACAAATACACATGCTATTTGCTATTTCTGGACAGCATAACATACTTCACCCATCGTTAATGACTCTCATGCACTACATGGACTAAGAGTCCTGAGGCAAGTTTCAATACAGTTCCTACTTTGAACTACATCCAATTACTTGATCACGCAATGGGTGAATTTGCTAAGTAGCCTGATTCAGATACAAGCCAGACAACTTTTTTCTTGCCCTTCTTAGGAGTGCAGTATATTTTATAAAATACATTTTGATGAGACAAGTCATGTTTCCCTAAATAATTATTGTACGTTGATTTTACATTTCTCAGCTAATGATTATGAAAATATACTCCCAAAAATAGGCCAGTCACGAACTTCAGAACTTATATTTTCCACTGTTCAAGCGATTTACATAAAGTTGCAGGATCTTAACTCAAGCAGCATCTACCTTAGCTAAAAATATGCAACTGAAACACACCTTTTAAAGTGCTCTGAAATGTCTCGTCCCCTGCAAACACTATCCGAATCTTGCTTTAGTTTTTTCATCTGTAGTTGTTTTGAAGGACAGACTTGTCGAGAAGTAACTGCAGCAACTGTGGTCACTAGAACTGTGAATCCAATTACTATCACCTGCAAAAGAAGTGCCACTTGTCATTCTTCATAGAGCTACAGAAAACATTTCATTCACATATTATTCTGATTAAAGGCAAATTGTAATACTTCAATAAACATTGCAGTGAAAAAGAAAACATTCTCTCAGAGGCAAGGGTAAGAAACCAATTCTTTGATTCTGATGTGCTCCCTAATAGCTTTTCGAAGAAACCTATTTTATTCCAAACAATTTGGAATCAAATAGTACTACGAATTTTCCCAAAAATGCACATTAAGTAAAGAAAGTACGTACATCACATGCAAGTAAATAACAGAAACAAATAGGCAACAAAGGATACTCACATGGCCCACTCTCAAATCCTCTTCACTAACACATGTCCTTAAATATGGCCAAAACAGAAGCCATTTATGTACTAGAAGAACAAACCACAAAACTGCTGTGATAATGTCTATTCGTCTTCGATACGCAGAACAACCAGTAACAATAATTACAGCAATAGTAAATACACTAGCCATGATGTGGTCATATTTAGGAGCTATTTCTAATGCATAAGCTAAATCCGGAGACATGTATTGATTAAAGCTCTTGGCAAGTAATTCTTGGTTGTGAGACACAAGAAGGCTCAGAGCTGCAAACGAAGAAGCTATCTGCCCCCTCTGCAGCCAACTCACAGGCAGTCCCCGTTGCCACCAGGCTATCACACGTTGGCTTGGCTGTAACAAACAGAAGGCAGTAGAGTATTCTCATTTTCAAATAAAAATATTATCAGGATAATCATCAGAATTGCTGAAGTAAAATGATTTGATGAGTTCAAGAAATTTACAGAAAATTCAAAAATAACCAGAAAGACAAAAGAAAATTAACAAAACATCCCTCTTGTATTATCCAAATACATGACTATTTTCACTTGCACAACAGTAAAATAAAAAAGAACAAGAAAAAGAAAGAGCAAGAGAGAAAGATTTCTCAAAAATGAAGCAGAAACACAAAGGCACAACTGAAAAGCAGGACTGCAAGCAAAAGACCTAAATTCTTGGTTAAATCTTATAATACAAAAAGAACAGTTCTAAAAAATTCAGCTATTGACATGAGAAAGTCAGTTTGTTAAACCAAGACAAAAAACAGATAAATTGATGTACCAAAAGAGTGATATTATGCAATATTATGTCTTACACAATTTCTTTTAATGAAAATGCCATGGCCTGAGAGGTTGATGGCGCTGGACATCCCTGCTTGCCAAAAGCACTATCTAACGTTTATTTTCGAAAAACTACGATCTGTACATAGAACTATGAACATTAAATTTATTTTATTGGAGAGCATATAAAATACTACAACATCCATTGAGAGCTAAATTGTATTAGTAGTACAGAAGAAAGAAACTTCCATGATTCCTGTCCATGAAACTGATCTGACATAAACTTCTAAATTACATCAAAATTCGTTTCGCGAAGAAGGCAAATATTCCAATTCTGAAGATATTAGAAAATTGATCGCTCGTATTTGAAATTAAAAATATGCATTATGCAGTGTGGAGATAATAATATATGTTTACCCTGCACCACTCAAGCATTTTTCATAGCGATTCAGCTAGCACAGTAGGGTTGGATAGATCATGCCTTTTTGGAGATATCTAAAAGATTTTAGACGGTATGAGCAGAATCAATAACACCAAAACATTACAATTAATTTTTATTAAAAACTAAACAAAAATGTCCCCAACTCGCCTGAAACAATCAACATATGTCAAAATTAAATGTTGGCTGATAACACTCAGTTGAGGGATCTAGTTTCAACATGAAACTTTTCCATTCTAGTCTGTTGAGAACAACAAGAAAATGCCATATCATTTCTTTAAAACATTGTGAAGCTAAATGTTTGGGATTAAAACCCTTAACTAGTGGAAATAAAAACAAAAGTATAGGGAATATCTAGTCATTATGAAGAAAGTTGAGCTAATAATTCGGAAGTCTCATTTAGAAATTTAATTGATATAATTTTTTTTGTATTTTTGGTGAAAACTAATTTTTTTGTAAACACAAACCTGTTTTCGTTAAATATTTTTACAATTAGTTCCTTATGATGTCAATATTTATGAGGCATTTTTCAAAAAATATGAAGATCAGCAACCTCTAACAGCTGACTTCCACAATATTAAACATTTTCAATATCTGCTTGGTCAAGGCTTTGACCAGTTACATTTCTATAGAATAGTAAATTTTCATTTTCATACAATTTGGCACCAAAACATCGTGACAAGGGTCTCTGATTACTTAATGGGAAAGATCGTACTTTGCAACGAAATGAAGATTATTGAAAGATCGCGTTCTGATATTACCAAATTATTATAAAGCCCTCTGGAGTGAACAAAAAACTGCATTTTGTTATGTTAGAACAATTTTGCATTTATTTCAGTAGCTTTGACATTTGATGCATTTTGAGATAACACTCTGGCATTGCCTGCATCCGTTTATCATTCTTATCAGTGCTGTGAAAGGAAACAATCTGAATATATTTTCCGCACACAATTCAGTGGCAGGTATAATTGATAACATTGTCAAGCAACACGCGATAGCCTTTGTATTCTTCTGAATGCTTTGAGTCTGATTCTGTAAAACAAACTCATAGCCATCATATTGAATGGCTTATGGAAAGAAACAAAGAAAATTAATTTAATAGTTCAATTCAAAGTAAATTAATTGCATAGTTTAAATAAAACAGCGAAAAATTTTAATTATTAATTTTTTAAATAATTACTTTAAATGTACTTTTTTATTATTCATATGGCTTACGCACCCCTACTTCAGCTAGATTAATGCCCCTTTCCATGCCCATTTTCGTAAAAGTTACTGCATTTTTGACAGCATATTTTAGGTGGATAATATGAATGTCAAAACTTCAAGGCTGCAATTATGAATTAATAATTCATGTGAACTGTTTCATTTCATGTTGAAAATTGAGTATAAGTGCAATGCAATTACAATCAATGAACTCACTTGAGAACGAAGTGAGAGCTGATGCTGTCGATGCTGATCCAACAGCCATCCTTGTTGCTGACGAAGCGTTTTCTTAACAACCAATTCACAGGATTCACATAACTGATATGCTCGTTCCAGATGTTGCCTAAATAACAGTAATCACTAATTTAAAACAAAACTTCTCAAAGAATTTTAGCAACATGCCATTTAAACCCTCAATTGCTTGATGCGATTCCATGTTGTCTCTGGCACACAGTACTCACGCCAAGAAACGGCAAAAAGCTGTTTTTACTTTATTGCCTACTGTTTACAAAGTAAAGAGAAAGTAGTCACTTTTATTGCAGTGACCTGGTAATGAACAACTGAGAATGAAAACATTTCCTGGAATAAGTAGAAACTTATTCCAGTGTTGTTGTTTTTTGTTTTTTTATTTTTTAAACAAACTATTTGCAGTTTTTGATCAGTACACCACAGCAACCAAGGGCGCAAATAAGTTCAAACACAAACTATTGTACCTGTATTCCTCCACTTCTTCATCAAAACTTGCAGGATCCCTTGGTGTGAATGAAGCCAACTGCTGAATCTTTAAATCTTGGTTTATGGTACACTTACGACAGAATGGAGTTTTGCTGGAGACCGGGGTGCTCTTTTTATTGGGGGATGATTTTGCAGTCACTGAGTGATTCAGTAATTCATCATGCTGGGCAGGTATCACCTTGTTATAACCTCCATCCTGAAATAAGTCACATTAGTGGATGTCACAAAGTACAACGAATATGTAAGTGAGGGTAAGGGACAATTCTTTAAATTTCATTTCTCAGATGCGTGTGGATTTATTCTGCTCAAAGCTCTGGGCAGCATTGCTTTTGCAACACTTAGATTGTTATAAACAAATTGAATAGTTTTACATTTATATAGAATGATATGTTCATTTATTGACAGGTTAAAAAATGCAACATACATTATACACATATATATATTTTTGATTAATATGTTAGTTTTGATTAAATAATATGTTAGTTTTGATTAAATAGTTTATTTACCCTGATAAGAGATGAGCTTTTTTTCTAAATATCCCACACGAAAAATGCAGGATCATCTTATAATTGCAGATTAAGCCTATTTGGTTACGGTTTACGTTTAAACATTGCGAATCTATGACATGAAACTCCAATTTTGATGTAATGCATGAAGATGGTAAAAATATCTACAATACGTAATCAAGCAAATCTACAATATGTAATTATACTCATCATCCATTGCAAATTCACTGGGCAATTCAGACATATTTTTGACTGGGCTAGTAAACACAGAATCTCAAACGAATGGCATTGTCTCAAATGACATGTAACGTGAAAAGATTATGAACAATGCAAATTCAATGCGCACAATTTGCAGGGGAAAATTTCTAAAAATAATTTGTGACAAAATAATATGTTAATTTCAACTCTAGTCTTTAATAAAAGCTCATTTACAATGTTTAAATTTAAATTAACTACAATGGCGATTTAAAAAATATTATTTTAGTTGATCTTAATGCAATGTAACATGAATTACTTATGTTAACTTATTGGAAACTTATAATATCTTTATTATATTTTGGGAAATTACCTTTTAACCCCCTTCAATTAATGGGTACATTTATATTGTTTATTTTAATACGAATATTACAAAATCTTATAATTGAAATAATATCCTTGATAATTGATGGACTATTTAGCAAACAAGTTAACCAAAGACGTTGCAAACTTCTTCTTGACATCACTATGGTGTCATTCAAGCTTGCGATTGAATGAAACTATCAACAGCTGATACCTGCCAGGGACCGAGTGGCGAAAATCGCAGTATAGTTGAGTTATAACAGTTCAAAATTACTTCCTATTTGTGACGTTCATTTCAAGTTCATAAATAGTTCCAATTATCTATGTGAATTCATTTTTTACTAAATGATGACAGTCCATAGAAATTTTGAAAAGTTTAAATGAAAAGCAGAAAAAGTTCATGTTGAAAACGATGTTTAAAAACTTTCAGCTGCATCAAGCAGGCAGACAAACTGGATGCAATTTGATTTAAATCACCTTGTTTGTACAAAGTATTGGCAGGCTTTTATTCAGGGCCACTTGAGTTCAATTTCTTAGCATCAGACACAAGGAGCCTATTTTGAGGATTGTAGCCAGATAAAGAAACATGGCATTCCAAATAATGAGTTTTATTTATATATAATTGGTAAAAACTGGAGTTGTAAAAATTATGTTATGAATACTTTATGCAGAAAATTTTGTTACCCCTCAAAAAGTGACACCCAGATATTTGCTCGTAAATAAAATTGCACCTGAAGTCTCATCATCAATTTTCAGCTATGTCACAGTGAAAGATGGCACAGAATGAATTTTTGCGACTAGGAAAAAAAATTATTTTAGGCCCTTTCAACCTCTTCCTTAACTATATCAAGTATCTAAACATCCCAAGAATATAAACTTACAATTAGTTTTACAAGCTTCATAGAATCATTGTAAAGCAAAACAAATTGGAAATTTGAAAAAATTCACAGGTATATAAATTGTGAATGGTCATTGGTATATGACATGTTATTAAATGATTAGTTTTCAATTTAATAAACTGCTAACTGTATTGTATAAGATTTGTACAGGTAACTAATGTTTAAGATTTTTGTATAAGATTGGTAATAAAATATGAAATACACGTAATGATATTGCCATGTTGATACATACTGTTGAGAAACCATTGTATTGTTCACAGTGAGGACAATCCCAACAGTTCCAATTGTCATAGGGAACATCGGATCTCTTGTGGCAGAACCAACAAATCACTCTAACAGGAAACTTTGGTCTGAAATAAAAATGCAAAACGAATCCATATCATTGCAGTAAATACATTCAATGGCATAAACTATAGTTTTAATACAATTTAGTTATCATAATACCAAAAAACCATTTGTGCTACTGAAGTAAAAAATAGTTTTTTTTATATTCTACATACCTACTAAATAAATAACAGTGAACAAACTTCAATTAAATACAAACGGATTACATCATCGTGTAGTAATGTTTATTAACTCTAAAATAGTTAGCGAAAACGCTGTTTCTCATGCAAAACAAACAAAAAGAGGCAGGTTATGTAACAGTTGCACGCCGCCCGACTATAGAAAACATCTACATAAAATCGGTCCAAAACTATTAAATCTATTCCACTCACCTTACTTTTACGTAGGCGTACACCAAAATTAGAACTGAAATAGGTATTGCTATAAGCAATGCAGGCACGAGGCTGAATGGCCACGACTCTCCAAGAAACATTGTTATATCACTAATAAAACTACTTTAAATGATATCAATCTCACAGTATGAAAATGATAAAATGAAACTAACTAAACCTCACAAATTCCATTTCATACGCACATACACTCATTCATTCATTTCTCCTCAATCCCGTTCAACATAACCCATACATTCGCTTGGCGACGCGCACGCCGGCCCATCCACCACCATCCACCGTTCCGCCGCTCTTTCTGCACCGGTCGTGTTGATGGAGTGGGGGAAACTGGCGCCAAGTTGTGGCACCAACCAACGTGAGAATATAACACATGCTGAGATTCAAATTACAAAACGAATGTTCTGAAAATGAAGAATAATAGCCTTGAGGATGAAAAGGGGTCGAATTTGGAAATCAGATTTTCCAATGCCCGACTCAATTTTATGTCTACACAACATTCGTGTAGTATTTCTCGCATACGAATTTCATATTATTGGATGCAATGGCGTCCCTGACTTGCCGGTTATTTTCATCGTCTTGAAGTAGAGCATTATTGTGTCACAAAACATATTGTCCTAAACGAATCTACATTCATTGAAAATACACAAGTTCAGTGAATTATTGACATTTAATACATTATTTATTATGTTTATGTTAATGCTTCCCTTGGGGACACCGCTTTGAAGTAGTACTCAGGGATCACTCATGTTAAAAGGATCAGGTAGCACTGTCCGTGTGGACGGGGAGTCTTGTGTGTGAGGTGGAGGGCTCAGCCGACGGAAGTATGACTGTTTCTATGCATGACAACTGTTAGGGTCACCCATGCTGGACAGGCATGGGGCAAGACTAAAGGGCCAGACTAAGTCGTGTCCTACCACGACCTCTCCATCCCAATCTTAAACGTCCGTTCTTTCTTATATTTTTGTGTCCGTCCACCATAACGATGCGTTCATGTCGTTCTGGTTTCTGCATATATCTTTATGACATTTTTACCTTTCTTGTGCCACAACGCTTTCATCTATTCTATGGGCCAGCCTCGGTCAACTCTTGTTTATTTCTGACCACGACGCTATTACGTTTCGAGGACTACGGAGTCTTCCTTATTTCTTTAGAGTGTAGGAGACAGGCCTTACGCGGGAAGCATTCTAGAAGCATTCAATTATGAATGGTGCATGATCCAACAGGTAAAGGTGGGATTCACTAACCTTTGGAAATAAATCATCCCTAAAGAGTGGATCAGTAGTAGGCGGACTCTAAGCTACGATGGAAGCAATTAGCCAAAGGAATAGAAACTCCTGAACTAAAAGCTTCGGCCCTCCAAGTTTGGGGGTTATGCTGTAGACCAGAACCCTGCACTCGTAAAACTTCACACCGCTCAAAATCTAGGTCATATTAATGCCTCGAACATTTGAAAAAAGAGAGACGACATCGGCAAAAAAAGGTATCTGAATATTGGTATATGTAACGTAAAAAGCATATCAAACAAACATCAAGAAGAAATGATGACAAGAAACAACAATATTATCGTCTAGTAAAAACAAAACAAAAAAAAAAGAGCAAAGAAAGCGAAACACTGAAAAATAATTATCTACACTTTTAAATAAGCGCAAACAAACATAAAAAAGAGTCAAACAGTCGGAATTTCTATTGTTATTAATAAAAGATTCGATAAATGTATAAAGAGGATGGAGAATATATACGAACGGGTTAATAAAAAACTTTTAAAAATCAGAGCATACATAAGTGTCAAAGGAATATATAATTTGAATTATGAAAACAAAATTAACTACAAAAAGGGACTGTGAAATAACCCATTTAATTTCTCGTAAAGTGTTCTCCCAATAAATAATATATACAATGGAAGAGACAAAATTAGTATGTATCCAAATTTGTCACGTATGAGGAAAGAAATTGTACTCGCTCACCTTAGAAAGTTTTGTTTCTCGTCTATCTCAAAAATTATTTGCTAACATTATGTGAAAAATTTGGAAAACTTTTAAATTTGGCGCTTCCTTCTATAAAAATGTATTGGAACAATTCTTTACAAGAAACTGAATTGGGCAGACTCAACTCCAAACACACTACTAGCTTCGAAAATAAACGCTCACGAAGTGACAGATTTAATAAAAAAAATATAAGTTCTTCAGGGAGAATACTTCACGAGAAATTGAATGGTGCAAACCAGACAGTAATCAGAACGAAAACAGAAACTACACCTCAGGAGACGGGAATAGTACTCACATATTCATGACAGGATAATTTGAAAAAAATGCAATTTTCAGCATTTCCCCCTGGTCATATGTGTATTGGGACAACTGTTTACGACGAATTGTGCAAATTAAACATTCATCAGACTAAAAGTTTTGAAAATATACGAGCAACAATAATTTGCCTTAGGTAATCAAGTACAAAATACCCCCACATTGCATGCCAAAATTGAAAAAAAAAACTAATTTCGGCCTTTCCTGTTGAAAACTGGTGCACAGGGACAACACTTTACGAGAAATTAAATGGTGCAAACCAGACTGTATTCAGACAAATAGTTTGGGAGATAGACGAAAAAAGAAACTACATCACAGGTGACTGAAAAACAACACACCTATTCATGACAAAATAAATTGAAAAAATTCAATTTTCAGCATTTCCCCCTGGTCATATGCTGTATGCACAACTGTTTACATGGAATTGAGATTGTGCAAATAAACATTCATCAAACTAATAAGTTTTGAAATTATAACTAGCTACAATGAATTTGCGCTTAGTAATCAAGTACAAAAAAATACCCGCCACATGGCGTGCCAAAATTGGAAAAAAACTAATTTCGGCCTTTCCTCCTGAAAACTGGTGTACAGGGAGAACATTTCCCGAGAAATTGAATGGTGCAAACCAGACTGTATTAAGACAAATGTTTTGGGAGATAGACGAAAAATGAAACTACACTACAGGTGACTGGAAAACAACTCACCTATTCATGACAGGATAATTTGAAAAAAATGCAATTTTCAGCTTTTCCCTCTCGTCATATGTGTATTGGGACAACTGTTTACGACGAATTGAATTGTGCAAATTAAACATTCATCAAACTAATAGTTTTGAAAATATACTAGCTACAATAATTTGCCTTAGGTAATCAAGTACAAAATACCCCCACATTGCGTGCCAAAATTGGAAGAAAACTAATATCGGCCTTTCCTACTGAAAACTGGTGTACAGGGACAACACTTCACGAGAAATTGAATGGTGCAAAGCAGACTGTAATCACACAAATAGTTTGGGAGACAGACGAAGAAAGAAACTACACCACAGGTGACTGGAAAACAACTCACCTATTCATGACAAGATAATTTGAAAAAATGCAATTTTCAGCATTTCCCTCTGGTCATATGTGTATTGCGACAACTGTTTACGACGAATTGAATTCTGCAAATTAAACTTTCATCAAACTAATAGTTTTGAAAATATACGAGCTACAATAATTTGCCTTAGGTAATCAAGAACAAAAACTCCTGAAAACTGGTGTACAGGGATAACACTTCACGAGAAATAAAATGGTGCAAACCAGACTGTAATCACACAAATAGTTTGGGAGATAGACGAAAAATGAAACTACACTACAGGTGACAGGAAAACAACTCACCTATTCATGACAGGATAAATTAAAAATATCAATTTTCAGCTTTTCCTTCCGGTCATATGTGTATTGGGACAACTGTTTACGACGAATTGAAATGTGCAAATTAAACATTCATCAGACTAATAGTTTTGGAAATATACGAGCAACAATAATTTGCCTTAAGTAATCAAGCACAAAATACCCCCCCTCCCCATTGCGTGCGGAAATTGGAAAAAACTAATTTCAGCCTTTCCTCCTTAAAACTGGTGTACAGGGAGAACATTTCCCGAGAAATCGAATGATTCAAACCAGACTGTAATCACACAAATATTTTGGGAGATAGACGAAAAATGAAACTACACCACAGGTGAAAGGAAAACATCTCACCGTTTCATGACAGGGTAATTTGAAAAAATGCGTTTTTCAGCATTTCCCTCTGGTCATATGTGTATTGGGACAACTGTTTACGACGAATTGAATTGTGCAAATTAAACATTCATAGGGTTAATAGTTTTGAAAATATTCGAGCGACAATAATTTGCATTAGGTAATCAAGTACAATATACCCCTCCTATTACATGCTAAAATTGGAAAAAATCTAATACCCCCCCCCTATTACGTGTCACGGGAGATAGGGAAAAAATGGCGCCTCAGGTGAACTAGCCTTTTCTAATTATGTCACAAATTAAGGATAATATTAATTTCAATGCTTTCCCTTGATTATTAGGGTATTTTGTTAACGTTTTACGAAGTATTGTATTGTGCAGACTAATTTTTAAGTAGACTTAGAGTGTAGAAAATATATGTGAAATAATACTGTCTAAAGTAATCAGGTACAAAATACCCCCTGATTATGTTACAAATTTGGATGAATTTTAATATCCGCGCTTTTTTATGAAATTCCTTGTATAGGGAGAATAATTCACGAGAAATTGGAATGTAGACTGCTACTTGACAAATTTGGAAAAATTGTAAATTTTGCGCTTTCGTCTGATATTTCGTGTATTTGTAGTGCATTTAACGAAAAATAAATGGATCAAACTCTTCTTCGATACGAGTATTAGTTTCGGAAATAGACGCGAATATGAACGGATTCTTAGTTGCGAAATTTGGTGAAATATATGAAAAAATAATATTTTTCGTAACTTTGTTTTGAATTCACGTATAAAAGTAGAATACTATACGTGATACTGAATGGAATAATATAGTTCTCAATCCGAATTATTGTTTCGTAGATGGACGCTAAATAAAGGTACCGTAGTTTTGAAAGCAATACCTCCCATGCATTACAACTTTGGATTAATATTAATATTTTCGTATCCTTGTGAGATAACGAATGTAAACGGAACACATTACTAGAATTTCAATGGAGCAAATAGACTTCAGTACGACGAATAATTTTGGAAAAATGAAGAAACCAAATGGTGATAAAAATGGTGACGAATTTGTAAAATATTTGTTTTTGTTTCTTTCTGACATCACGTTCTTAGGAATAACACTTAACGAGACATTGAAATGAGCAAACCTTACTCTAATGCGACTAACAGTTTCGGAGATTGATGCAAAATAAAACGTTGCCTTAATTGAGAAATTGGGTGAAAAATTTGGAAAAATATTAATTTTCCCCCCATCTATCTGAATGTAAGTATTAATGTAAAGCACTATTCCAGAAATTGAATGGAGCACACTAGATTTAAATCCAACATATAGCCTCGGAGATAGATGCGAAATAAAACGGTGC